TTGGAAGAATTCGACATGCGAAAAAAAGGGTACCAAGATGCTGACGTGCATGCGCTACCATGTCATGAAAATACAGCGGTGGACATAGCAACATGAACAACGCACCTATGCATGCTTGATAAAAGGTAAATAAATAAATAAATAGTAAGCGAACAAAGACATCATAAAATCAAGGAAGTTTTGAGCATGCGCAGTTTCCGCAATTTGTGCCCAACCTGTGTTCTGAGTAAAGCAATTTTGCATCGTTTTGCCTATGTTTTTTATACTCAACTTCTTGGGAAACTATAGCATTGTTTCAGACTTTTTTACGTGGATAGGTATTAATGTGCGCGAAATAAGTGTGCCTTCTTGGGGTACTCACCATTAAAGACATGCCTTGTCACCAGTAAGCTGGTGAATCGAATCTTAAGGAAAGAACCTCGTGTGCAAGTTTTCTCATTTTTCTTTCTGCTCAGGTTGGCCACCTTACTGCGTTGCGATGTCAGCCGCGGTTAAGTGATGAACCTGTCGATCTCGAGGTATATGCTAAGCGTCATGAGAAACTGGAGAAAGAGGAGAAGCAAATTCTGAGAAGGTATGACTGTCCTTTACAAAATATGGCATGGAATCGTTTACGAAAAGTTCTTCCCTGTTTATGCTTTATCACCTGGTGAGCGGCAGTGGGTGCTTATTTTTGTAGAGAGCTGGCATTTTTTGCTTTGATTTTCATTTTTATTAGTCCGTTTAAAGTCTTACAAGTACTATCAGCGGTCCTCAGCAGAGTAACCCTCGTATACGAATTGTGGCAGCAGCACCATTTATCTGCAAGTTTTTTTTTTGGTTTCTGCACCGTTTCATAACTATAAGCTCACCCTGAAAAAGTGAACATTTTATTTAAGCTAATGACACAAGTAAGAAATATAACATTTATGACTCTTCCTTGTTCAAGCACTGTGAACTAGGCTGTGAAGCTCTTTTTTATTGATTCCGTTCCAAGCTTTAATGACCGCCTGTTTCAAAACTTCTGTACTCTGTAACTAACAGTTGTTCGAATGAACCTCTTTGACATGATGCCCCACTTATTCTCTGTTGGATGGGCATCAGGGCTGCAGACTGGGCACGGCTGGGCGCGTAGTCGTGCCCAGTCTGCAGCCCTGATAGGGCTATTTTTGGAATGTAGCCTCTTATTTGCCGAGGGGCTCACGCGAACGCAGATTTTCCTTTCGAAAGACGTAGTTTAGACAGCTTCGCAGAGAAAGAGAAGCATTAGATGATGCCGCTAGATTTTCTGGTAACAATTGGACTCCATCTTGCAGATGACTAAGGAAAGTGTCACCAACATCATTACGGGGAGCAACCCAGACTCACACTACCTCCACCGAAACTATGAACGTCAAGTTAAATGGCCTGCCTTTGAGGCCTTCGAATCACTCCAAAAGCGCTTGTTTTTGTCGAGAGTGCCCAAAATAACCTTCTTCCTTCAGAAAACAAAAACAATCTAGATGAGGCTATAAACCTGTAGATGACATCGTAGGTCAAAGCAACCTTCATCCAATCTATCTGAGTTGAATTCGAGAATTTGTTCGCGGCCAGTAATCCTCGTGACCATCTTCATTGCCTTTCTGGCAATGTCTCTGCTTCTTCTGACGGCTCCCCGAACTTTATTTTTTGAAGCAGAAGTGTTCAATTATGAGCATATCAAGATACTAGGGATGTACTGATTGGAACTAACGTCAAAATTCTTTTTTACTCCTTGATGGTAAACGCACTTGAGCGTATAAAACATGTAGATCATCTGGAGACTTGGGAGCATTTCAAGCATCCATTCAAGCATTGAGACTTGAGTTTTCCGACTTGTTTCGCAGTGACCCTTACACAGAATTCAGCATGTCAAAATGCTTAAGTCTTACCCTTTCTTGGGAAGACCACCAGGTGGCATTCTGTAAATGCAGTTGGAAGATTTGCTAGTGAAAGACATTCATTTTTGCAGGCACTCTCTGTTGATTCCCATGCGAATTTGTTCATTTTCGTAGGGTGAGCTTATAATCATGAAACGGTGCGAAAACTAAAAAAAATGTAAAAAAAAACACAAAAAGGTATCGCAGCTGCCAAAATTCGGATACGGGGCTCTTCGTGCTAAGGAATTCGTTAGTAATGCGAGACAACTTCCTAATTGGCTCTTATTCTCAAACGCAGAATTCAAGGGGAATTTATACTTAAACGCATTGCCTTGCCAACTTAAGAGTTGCTCAAGGAGTACAGATGGTGCAACTTCCTGAAGAGTTTCAAGCATACTCTTGTAACAGCTAAGTAGGTATTTCAAGGCACGCAAGTCAGGGTCCGGTTCACAATATGCAACTTTCCATAATTCTTAACGTGAATCTTCTGAATTACTTTCGTCGTCGTCATTGCTGTTTAGATATTTTGTAAGCCATCAGGTCAGGATCTCGACCAGCAATACACTTTCTATCCAACGAATTTTCTGCATTGTGTAGGCTCCTATGGCTTATTTCAGGGATCGAATCTGGCAAAATGAAGTCCGCCGTCGGTCACGTCTTCTGCGAATCCAACAAACTCCTCCGCGTTTTCGTGATTTCCGTATCGTTGTGTTGAGGAAACTCACTCGTCATTTTAAATGATTCCATTTTGTCAAAATTCAGTAGTTTTATCACACTGTACAGTTCTGTGCTTAAATAAATCCTTGCAATATCATAATGTTGGTGAAATTGCGCATTAATCTTTTCAGACATGCGTGTTGTGGTAAACTTGAACACGATTGATACAAGTTTACTACGTCAGCAAAAAAATAAAGATAAGAAGTGTAAGTTATAAAACAATCAGTATGATCAGTACCAATGATGACATAGTTTGTTGGTCGGCTTCCGAAAACATTAGGACTCGCCATTCCTCAACTTAGCAGAGACTTGATTCTCGGTATTTAAATTGGGGGACAACTGTTTTTCACCAGCTACAAATACTCACTGTCGCCTAGAAGTGAACCTTCTCGCTCACGCAACTTATCGTCAGTTCGACTATGCCAGCTTCACATGCTGAATTCGGAAAAACTGGAAGCTGCACCATTTTATGAACCAAATGGATCAAAAACTTTTTCCAGAGGTGTGAGCTGCAGAGGCTGCTTCCTAATAGCTGCCTTTAGTATTTCAGTTCAGAAAATCATCGTTTAAGATTAGCAGCTCACGAGTGTAATTGTTCTAAACTTCGAGTGAATCAAAAGCGTTTGTTTCGAAGATATTTACAGTATATGTCTCACCATCTGATTAGGCGTGTCTATGAAATTGACGTGGCTGTCGCCGCACTTGATAGAAGTCGTGTGGATAAGCTGTTTCTAACATACTCCGCTGGATATCAGCAAAGCATGCTGGAAGCAGCTTATCCGCGCAACTTCTATCAAGTGCGGCGGCCGTTACATCAAATCCATAGACACACCATTCGAGATATGGATAAAGGTGAACCGAACTCGCACTTAAAGGACGAATTCACGCTGGAAAGGCAACCCATTTCAAATTAACTTAGGGATGGTGAGTGGTACACGAAAGAAGGAAAAACCATGAGAAACGGCCCAGAACCCGAGAAATGGGACCCCTTCCGACACTATTGCACTATTACAACCCCAGTAGGGGTGAGATGGGTCAAAAAATAATTTTCGCTGAAACTTCGGCTATGGGGGTTATCGAGGGTCCTGATCACGAATATGATATCCATTTTTGGCGCTGGCGCCATGGCGCCACAACTGATTCCCACTAAATTCGCTGTAAACTTCTGTATAGGGGTTATTTGGGGTTGATTACGAATATGACATTCGTTTTTGTTGTTAGCGCTATTCGGCGCCTATTTCCTGCTCGTCTGCGCCCTCGCACTAATTAGATCGCAATCAGGACTAAGCCTTTGAATAGTGGAGGGCTCCAAAGTGAGTAGGCCATTCCCCTGTGGTCTGACACACTCCAACTTTTGCCACACGGTGCGTGGTTTACCCACTCCGGAGTTTCACTCCCCTCCCCTAAGCTTAGTCTTAGGCGCTGTAGGTGAGAAAGCTTAGAAAAGCAGAAAATATGCGTTAAACAGCACGAATGTCAAAAACGAGTGTCATATTCGTGATCAGGGCCCCAAATAACCCCTATACAGAAGTTTACAGCGAATTTGGTGATAATCAGTGTGGCGCCAATGGCGCCAAATGGCGCCAGCGCCAAAAATGGATGTCATATTCGTGATCAGGACCCTCGATAACCCCCTAGCAGAAGTTTCAGCGTGGGCGTGCACTGACCCACCGCGCCAAGATTGAGCCAGGTCAACTCCTTCGGTGCCAATTGCGCTTCAGTCCGCACCCTCAGGAGGTCCGCGGGTCCCTCAACTAGGTGAATTACTCCTTCTTCGACCTTCATTCTAATCGTGAATTCCTCCTTTAAAGCAACAGTCCCAGCAGGGTTTTTACCTTCGAAGCTATATTTGGAAAAATCGTCAAACCCCCGATTTGAAGACGTATAACTTTCTTCATTGATAACCATTTCAGAAAGTGAAGGCAGCTTTTGAATGCACAAGACTTCTAGTTTCTAAATTGTGCTGAGCGTTTTTCTAAGCACGCCTATTCTCGAGAGTGGGAGACGTCGAGGAATTGTCGAGGAAATTGAAATTTACATGCGAGTTCCCACTCTTTGGAAGACTGTAGCTAGCTGTCTTCATTGGCAATGCTTTCAAAATCGGAGGAAAGCGTTGTAAACTAGAAGATTTGTGCTTCCTTATAAGTGCTTCATTTGTTTCGAATATTTTTCAGTTCGCGTAGGGAATGTCGAGGATACTTTCAAAGCACTTCAAATTCTGTTCCTTCGCCGTACCGGGGAACCTCTTTAAAAGCTCTCAAAATGTTAAGAGACACATCGTCTCAATGAAGTTAAGAAATGATACACGAGGCGCAGATCCATTCCGTTCTGGTATGCGCCAGTGGCACGACTCGGAGTCATTTGAAAGCCACTTTGTCCACACGACGACGTGCTTGTGCATGCCAAAGGTTATAGTTTAGCCTGATCATTCCTTTATTTATCTTCCTTTCCGACCCTGTTCTGATGAATGACACTGCAGTATTTGATGATGCCAAGAAAGCTGCGAATCTCCAAGTTTTGATCTACTGAGATCCCGCTCCTCTTCTCAAAGTCTGTACATTAATTTAGAGTACATACGCGCTGCTCATTCCCTGCGATTCCTTTGCAGGTCACGTTTCCTCCCTATGGCTCGAGATTACTATGAACCAACCAATAACCACTGTACATCTAAATTTTAATCCCAGGGACGAAAAAATTTTGAACAAAAATGAAAGCAGATTCCGAAGTCACAACATTTGGTTTTCAAGTAGTCTAAGTGTACAACAATTCCAGCTTTGAGGGTATTTTATGAATTTGACGTGAACATTTCATTTCTTGTTGAATAGTGGATTGCTCCTTGTCATTTTACACGGCCATTTCAGGATCCTCTTTATCGAACATTTTTCCTCTGAGAGCCGTAGTTGAAACGCGCTCATGTGACTGGGCCTACTTGTGGGACGCGCCGTGTGCTTCACATCCCTTGATTTTGATGGACTCATTGAAAGATAAAATATCCGTTGGAAAACGTGCGAATTTCAGGATTCTTCAACCTTGTCGTAATGAAATCACTGAGGTAGCTAGAATTACTACGCGGACCCTTTGAACCACGAAAACTTTATGTGGACAAAGTAACGTTGTTATAGGAAATCCTCTGGCCGAACTTGCACAGCATTGATCACTCCTTGTATTTGTTCTACATAAGGGATGGTCCTACATCTTATTTGTCCCGACCCCTTCCTCCCAGCCGACCAAAAACGACTCCCCCTGTCGACCTGCCGAGGATTCCTCAACGCACGATTGACCCTGGTCAAATCCATTTTGGTTCACGCTCCTGATCTCCACTTGAATCGGAATTAGAGGGAGTTAAGCGACAGTTCATTTCATTCAAATGCATTTATGTTTATTGGAATGGAAGAAGGGACTGCCAATGTAATATAATAGTTTGAAGGGTACATAAAACACATGAACATGTGACTGAAACCAGGGAAAAAACTAGTTCGAGCTTTGTCTGGAATGCTTTTCTGGACCTGAGCTCTTCTGCTTACACTTGGAAAGGCATGGAACAAAAAAAGAAGTTATCAGATTATAGGTTGGCCGGCCTTAATCTGAGGGTGTGTAGCGGTATGAAATACAGAACATTATTGGCTATACATATTTATTATAAAGGTATGAGAGAGGAGGGAAGACGGGGTGGAGGTAGTGAGTGACGACC